GCCCTGAACATAGAGCACTGTTTCTATCTCCAAGCAGCGTTTAAACGGGCTGTTACACTGGCAGCCTGTCCTTTAATAAAGAGGCTAGATCTTGTAAAAAACACATTCCAATACCCTAAGCTGACCACATGCTAAAGGATGAGGAGTGCAAAATAGCGTTTCGTAGACTCTGAGAACCGAAATGGGTCTTTAGAGATCACCTAGTCCAGCCACGTTGCTTTTAGGATGAAGAATTTGTCGAAGGCCGCATAGCTACAGTGAGGCAGGGCAGAATTCAAACTTCTGGCTATCATTTGGACTTAGAAATAGCATTCGCAACCTCTGACACTAATTCTTAAAATGACCATCTTTAATTATTCACTCTTTCCTCTTTCTTCTAACCTGCTACAGACAGCTACTAAGCCCTGTAGAAATACTTCAGCCATCAAATCTCTCATGCATCCCTTGAGATCATGCCTGGACTAGCAATCAGTCACCCCCACTACCAAAAACTTCTGAAAGCACACTTCTGATTATAGAACTATATTGGGTGGGAATTTACCTTAATGCAATGGTAGCCTCCACAGACACTACCAGGCAGACTATCCCAGAGTTCATAGAACAGAAAGGTCCAAACCAGATGAAAATGCTTAAATACTTTTTTGGTTTGTTTGTTTTTTGTTTTTTGAGATAGATCTCACCCTGTCACCCACCTCCCAGATTCAAGCGATTCTCCTGCCTCAGCCTCCTGAGTAGCTGAGATTATAGGCATGCACCACCACACCCAGCTAATTTTTGTATTTTTAGTAGAGGCAAAGTTTCTCCATGTTGGCCAGGCTGGTTTTGAACTGACCTCAGGTGATCCGCCCGCCTCAACCTCCCAAAGTCCTGGGATTACAGGCATGAACCACTATGCCCAACATCAAAAACTTTGTATTACTTATTTTAATGAACAATTCATTTAGTTTTTGAATTAATTAAACCACATAACCAAAAGAAAAGAGTTGGCATACTTACAATAGGGTACAAGAGATTACACTACCTGAATCTTGAGTTATACAACGTTCATGTTTTCTCCCCCTCAATTCCTCCTCTTCCTCATCCATCACATGAGCTCTCTTGCCGATGGTACAGTTTCAAGGAAGAGAGTGTGTGACTTCATGGTACTTAGAGCACCTTCCAAGTAATGGGGAAGGAGGCAATTATGCAAATTTAATGCAAAATAATTGAGATAAGTCTTCTCAGAATCCTTCAAGTCCCAACTCAAATATCTTCCCAAAAAAGCCATTCTTTGCCTACCTGGGGCCATGTGACCACTCAGCCCTTTGAGTCAAATCTGTGCCCAGTAGGTACTCCATTAAACTACATCACCATCTATGTATTTATATGTTTCCTCTACCACCACAGGCGTTTGAGGCTGCAGTGAGCCATGATCATGCCACTGCACTCCAGCCTAGGCAAGACTGGATCTCTACAAAAAAATTTTAAAAACAGCCAGGCATGGTGGTGAACACCTGTAGTCCCAACTACTCAGGAGGCTGAGGCAGAAGGATTGCTTGAGCCCAGGAGTTCACAGTCGTAGTGAGCTATGATCACACCACTGCACAGCCTGGGCAACAGAGCAAGAACCCATCTCTAAAAAAAAAACAACAACAACAACAAAAAAAAAAACAGGATAGCATATACCCTAAAGAATTGAAAGCGGGGGCTGGGTGTGGTAGCTCATACCTGTAATTCCAGCATTTGGGGAGGCCAAGGCAGGCAGATCACTTGAGGCCAGGAGTTTGAGACCAACCTAGCCAACATGGCAAAACCTGTCTCTACCAAAAATTCAAGAATTATCTGGGTGTGGTGGTGTGTGCCTGTGATCCCAGCTACTTGGGAGGCTGAGGCGCAAGGCTGCAGTGAGCCAAGATCACACCACTGCACTCCAGCCTGGGCAACAGTGTGAGACTCAGTCTCAAACAAACAAACAAACAAACAAACAAAAAAGCTACTGAACATCATAGCTTAGTTCTGCTCACCCTAAATGTGCTCAGAAGACATATTAGCCCACAACTGGGCAAAATCATCTAACAGAACCGATTTTATAACAAAGTGTTAAATATCTCTTGTAATTTAAAGAGTACTGTACTGAAAGTGAAAGTCAAGATGCCCATATGGGTAGTGGTAGTATGGTGTGAACTCAAAATATCTGAGACAGAGCTCAGTCAATTTAGAAAGTTTATTTTGCCAAGGTTAAGGATGCATCCATGACACAGCCTCAGGAGGTCCTGATGGTGGTCCAAGGTGGTCCGGATACAGCTGGCTTCTGTACATTTTAGGGAGACATGAGACATCAACAAATATATGTAAGGTGTACATTGGTTCCAACTGGAAAGGTGGGATGACCAAAAGTGGGGATGGGAGCATCCAGATCATAGGTAGATAAGAGAAAAACGGTTGCATTATTTTGAGTTTCTGATAAGCCTTCAACTGAATACACAGTTTATAGGAATAGTCACTTAGGCTTTAGTCTCTTAGTAAAACGATACGGCAAAGGAAGCAATTAGATAAGCATTTGTCTCATGGTGAGCAAAGGGATTGAGTTCTGTGTGTCCACAAGGAATGTCCTTGTGGCCTAGTAATTTTTAGGGTCCCAAGATTTATTAGTGATTTTGGCTTAGTGATTTGGGGGGACTGAGATTTATTTTCCTTTTTCAATGGTTTCTGCTGAATGCATATCACTTCTACACCACCGTAAAGTCAAAAAATTATTAAATCAAATCCTGGTAACTTGGGGACCATCTGTATGTTCCACTTTTTCCTGTTCCACTTTTTCCAAGTGTCTCTATGTGTCCCTTGGCAGAGCTCTACCATGTCCATCATATACACCCTACCTATTTCTGTTAAAGTCTATCATTGGTGTGAGAAGTAGAAAAGTTCCTTTTGAAAGTTTCCTTCCTTGTTAAAGAATAAGTGTGCTAATAACTTTGTTAAGCCCTGTCCTATGTAGCTGTTAAACATGCCATGCTTACAGACAGGCACTTAGTACAATCCATATCCTTGTACTTTAACCAAAATATCTGTGCTGGACGTGTTCACAGGCATGTCTCAGCTCTCCATTGCTTTTACCTGTTAAGAAAAGTTTTAAGTTGTTAGCCAATTGGGTTTTAGTTTAGATTGTGAGGTCTGGCTCCAGCCAATAGAGACCAGACACAGCAGTAAGGATGACCCCAAATGTGTAAGGAATAAAATTGTGTGTTTTCCTTTGTTCATTGTACTCTTGTGGCAAGATGGCTAGCAGTCCAGGAAGTAAAAATTGCATTGCTGAAAGATCCCTTGTTTCAGTGCTGATTTTTCTTTGTGGCACCAAGCATCTATTTCCAAAAATAGGTATGTTATGATTGCAAATGGGATTTTCTACCACTTCTAGTTAACTTTTAATTGATATTTCCTATAGGAAAGCTGTTTGTGTTTACTTTGTAATCAACCACTTACTGAATTACCTTATCTCTGATAGTTTGTCAGTTGATTCCCTTTTGTTTTCCACAAATCATCTGAAAATTGTTGGACCGCCCACTTTCCACATTGTATACTTCATTTCTTTCCTTTGCTAATTACATTGGCTAGTGCTTCCACAGTAATGTTAAATCATCATGATACGGTGGGAATGCATGTTCACTAATGCCTTTGGTTTTCTTTTTGGGAAATTCACACCAATGAAATCTGATACAAGCAATCCACAATCAGTACCAAGGATAACACTGACATATGACACAGACACAAGCTTTATCAGCTTACTTCTTCAATCTTGCCTTGATACATAGTGCTCATTTTCACGATCCCAGTGGAATAAGAGATCAGTATAATTTCTTCAGATTCTCTGAGACAGGCTGGACCCCCTCCCCATTGGGGAGAGATGTTCCAGTAGTGGCCATTCCTTTTGCATTCTTCTGTTACACCCAAGCACAGGATATAATGATGGCTCCTCATGGGGAGAGGTCAGTCTTAAACAGTGTTAAGTACAAAGTGATGACACATAACAGAAGCTCAGAAGTACTATCACTCACCGTCATTTACTTCTTCCCTGTCTCTCTGCTACTGGAGGACGGCACGGAGAAATCAGGTTCTTAGAGATGAACATCAGCCTTCTCTCACCTGCCTTGAAGAGTGCCCAGGGAGCAAAAAGGGTTTCTTGCCAGGTGTAGTGGCAAGACTGAGGCAGGAGGATGGCTTGAGCTCAGTTCAAGACCAGCCTGGGCAACATACGGAGATCATGTCTCAAAAAAAAAGGCCAGGTGTGGTGGCTCACACCTGTAATCCTAGGACTTTGGGAGGCCGAGATCATTGGATCATTTGAGGTCAGGAATTCAAGACCAGCCTGGACAACATGGTGAAATGCCGTCTCTACTAAAAATTAGCCAGGCGGTAGTGTCATGTATCTGTAATCCCAGCTACTCGGGAGGCTGAGGCAGAAGAATTGCTTGAGCCTGGGTGGAGATTGTGATGAGCTAAGATTGCACAACTGACTCCAGTCTGGGTGACAGAGTGAGACCTTGTTTCAAAAAAAAAAAAAAAAAAAACTAGCCTGGTGTGATGGTGTGCACCCATAATCCCAGCTACTTGGCAGGCTAAGGCAAGAGGATCACTTGAGTCCAGGAGTTCAAGGTTGGAATGAGCTACGATTGTGCCACTGCATTCCAGCCTGGGGGACAGAGCCAGACCTTGTTGAAGCAAAGAAGAAAAGAGACAGAGAGGAAGAAAAAGAAGGAAAGAAAGGGAAGGAAGGAAGGGAGGGAGGAAGGGAGAAAAGAAAAGAGAGAGAAAGAAAGAAAAGAAAGGAAGGAAGAAAAAAAAGGAAGGAAGGAAGGAAGGAAGGAAGGAAGGAAGGAAGGAAGGAAAAAGAATAGAAAAGGGCTCTGTCTCCACTGTGCTATTAAGTGGGCAAGGTTATTAATTGACCCAGTGGTTCTTTCCTCCCCTTCCAAGTCAAAACAGCAGAACAGTTTTCAAGGAAAGGTTAAAAACCAAGCCGGAAGTGGTTGAAAATGTATTTATTTTTTTTAAATGATCTTTTTCAAGCAATAAATAAAACCAGACATATTGACTTCTAAAAAACAAAACCAAACAAAAATCCCCTGAACTATATACATCCTACAGAAATACAGGCATATCAAATGTAGAAATGACATCACTCTGAAAGATGGGGCTATTTACACAAGTTACAAGAATTGCATTGCTGTCTTTAAGAAGTCTCTTCCTTGAATGACTCGTAAACTCTAAGGGAGAGAGGGTATTGGTGGGGAAGCGGGGTTCAAAGTGGAGACATCCTCCATCTTTATTGATGGACAAGACAGCCTCAAGGAAAAACATCAACATCCAGGCACTGTATTGAGTCCCATAACAAGGCTCCACAGATTATCTGGCTTTCGAAAAGCCTGGAAGGGTGTTCCAGTCAGGAGCTCCCAAGAGAAACCATCTTGTCCCTTAGCCGGGCTGGGATTGGTGGTGAGACCATGCTGAGCCAGTGGCAAACCATGGCTGTGATTTCCACAGGACAGTCTGGCTCTTTGTGCTGTCACACCCAGCCTCCAACAGCGCCTTGACATCCAGAAAGCATGGCAGTTTCCCGAGCTTGGCTGCAAAGGTAAAGTACCCAGGGAGCTTCGAAACACTGATGCCTGAGCTCCCCCCAACCCCACCATTAGAACTGGCTGAACTGATCTAGGAGAGCCTGAGTATCAGAATTGTGAAAGTTCCCCAGGTAATTCCAACATGGAGCCATGGCTTTACTACCACAGGCTTGATTGGTGGCCAGTTCTCAACATCCTGCCTAAATCAACCATCCTACCTCCCTCTCTGCATCTTCCCACAATGTAAAAACTTTTCTATGGCTTCCCAAATTAGAAAACTCTCTGGAATCCAGCTGGAATGAGCAACTGAGCAAAATGGCCTCGGGAGGGAATAACGGGAGCTGGGACCTACCAGTCAGTCACCTGCTCACCTCCGCTTCGGCCGAATAATGCTCTGTGGGAAAGCTTGGTCCCTTTCCCCCAAGGCTCCTCCACTCACATCCCTGGATCAGACATTCTGGGAGGGAATGGGCAGCATTCCTCACTCTCTACAGAATACCCAATGAGCATTCTGTCTTTCATGGCTGATAGCAAAGTTGATAATCAATGAGGGGCAATGCTTTTCTGTCATTACAGAAATTTCCCATCAGTAGAATCCCTTCACAGGAAGGATGGATGCCGATTGAAAGTCGTTGACCTTTTGGACTGACCCTGGGGTGGTGTCTTCATCAGAGCGATTGTAAGTCATCCAAAAGACTTCTGACGAAAAAACAATTTTTAAAAAGTCCTCCTTTCCAATCAAGCAAGTGTCCTATTTTATTTCTAAAAGTTTTGAGACTCGTGCTGTTATCAAGCACAAAGAAAATGGCTTTATAAATAGCTGTTTTGACACTGTGATAGAAGACTAGGGAGGAAAGATGTCACTGGAGCTAGTCCTGAGTTCCGACTGTCCCCATGGTGGGAATCCAGTCTGGGAAAGCAGGACAATTTTGGCAAATGTGCACTCATTCTATAAAAACTGAATCTGTTCTGCAGGTTACCTTCCCTTCTTGCCTTCTGTCCTGTCTCTCTGCTGCTGGGACCAAGGTCTTTGTTAGCTGCAGAACCCACTGGACTTCCAGGAATCAAGGAAAAGTTGGGAATGTCCAACTGTGTTCTCTAAATTGTTCCATTGTCCGGGAACCCAACCCCTCCACACTTCAGCTGTTATTCCCAGAGGAAGCAGGGAGCCTCTGGCTCGTCTTAAAATCGCCAGTGGGAGCTCTGGCCTCATTCACAGGCAGAGCTTAGTGAAGTCAAGATGAATGATGCCATGACAGGTTCATGGAAGGAAAGGTAACCAACCTGGTCCTATCTAGGATGCCAGATGAGAAAGAGCATCCCAATGTGATGGTGACATTGAGGCTTGATGTTATTTATGGGTGAGCAAGAATGTCCATTAGATGTAGACTCTCAAAGGGCTAAAAAAAAAAAAAAAAAAAAACCATGCTCTCACTTCTAGACAAGTTTGCAATAACCTCTAATCTGGCACTCCATAACAAGACTGTTGCACAATACTACAAACAAAATAGCATGTAGCTTGTTCCCTCATCCCTCCTCCCCAAACCCTCCCCACAGAAAATGTTTCTCCCTCCAAAGCCAGTCCTTATTTAGAAAGGCCCAAGTAAGGATTCAAAATGGCACCCACGTGCCCATGATGCACATCACAGGAGCCAGTGGCCAGCCCCCTCACCCAGCCATCAGCCCCGACCCCACCCTGGCCCTTTGGTTTCCAGTTTGGGAAATTCATACCAATGGAACCTGATATAAGCAATCCACAATCAGTTCACTGATGCTCCCTTGTCCTTCCACACTTCGAGGAGACCTGAAATGTGGTATGCATTCCCCTCTTTTTATTCAAAATCTTTTAGGTGAATATTTTAGGTGACCCTGGGGTGGTGTCTTCATCATTTTATTCAAAAATATTCACCTAACCAGGAATTTAAAGAACACAAGAATTTGTTGGTATATTTCACTTCAGGTAACACCCTAAAATAAAAACCTCCAATTTATGCAAAAAAGAAAAGATAGTGCTTCCACTTACAAAAGGATTCATTTCAGGATTATCTCTAGTTGTCTGGATTCCCCAATGGCTGGCCTTGCCGAATGATTTGCTGTAGGAAAATTTGAATGGCACCCGATTTTCAAGGAGCACCTTTGTTGTGATATGGCATCAATCACAGACGATAGACAAGTCTTAGGCAGATTTAGGCAAAAAATGCTCCCACCACCAAAGTGATCATTGGAGAGAAAAAAGGTTGTCTTACTGTGGTCTAAAATTGCTTTAGTGGCCTACATGCCCAGGAACCAGCTTCAAAAGCAATTCACGTTGGTCATGGTGACACGCACCTGCAGCCCCAGCTACTCGGGAGGCTCAGGTGGGAGGATCTCTCGAGCCTAAGAGTTTGAGACCAGCCTGGGCAACATATCGAGATCCTGTCTCTTTTTTACAAAAAGGCAATTCAAGCCTAATCCTTTTCTTTCTTCCTCCTCCCCCGGACCCTGCCTGCTTCTCACTGGCAACAAACACAAGGTGCTGATCATGCTACCTTGCCCACACCTACAACACACCATTGACTTTCTAACTGCTCTGACATCTGCATGCTATGTGCTCAGCTGTCTGACATCAATATTAATATATTCTAATTCCACTGTCACTAGACTTCTTGTACTTACAGATTCTGAAGAAAGTCTTAATAAATACTTTATTATTAAGCGTCATAATTCACCTGTTGGTGACTGAGAAATGAAAACCACGTCCTCAAAGATTTCTTCTAAAAAAAAATTCCTGTAACTACAACGACGACAACAAAGGGACAAGCACACAGAACCAGGCACTTCTGGGAAACTTGTCTTCTCATCCCTTTGCCCTCCCTTCCTCCCCCTTTAGTAAAACTGGTTGGGCACGTTTGCTAGGATTTGTGGGTTTCGTCACTTCAAGCCTTACTGCTTAAAAAAATGAGGTAAGAAATTTCTATCGGAAAAGTAAAACTGACACATAAACCGAACCAAGGTCTTCCCTGGCTGCTGCGGCAGCCGTTATTGCTCTAAGTTGGAGTGTTCTGTTTGCTTTTAATGTGTATTCAGAGTCCTTATTGCCATTCTGGCTGGCCTCGTGGTGGGCCAAGGAGAAATGATGGGGAAGGAGCTCGGTCGCCTGCTCCCAGCTGCTCAGTCCCGACTTTCTGCCCGCACGCGACACGTCCCACCCTTGCTGGGAGCCGGCTCTGGTTCTGGGGCCCCCAGGGCGGCTCTAACAGCTAGGAGAGGTGGTGATGGGGCTGTGCAGGTAGGGCAGGCTGCTGGGGGCCGAGTGCACACCCACCGAGACCGGAAAGCTGAAGACGAACTGGGAGGTGGGTGTGGCGGGGGTCTTGCCTCGCTCCCGCAGGGGTCCCGAGGGGCTGGCTGCCTCCGCGGCACAGGATGTGGCCAGCACCTGGGACTCGAACTGCAGCAGCTGCCCCATGAAGCTGAAGTTGGGCGAGATGATGCTGCGGCGCTGCTTGACGAACTCGAAGGCCTCCTCCAGCCTCACCCGCTTCTTCATCATCAGGTAGGCGAGGCAGATGGTGGCCGAGCGCGAGATGCCCGCCTGGCAGTGCACCAGCACGCGCCCGCGGCAGTCCTTCACCGCATCTGGGGACAGGGTGCCATAGGTGAGTGCACGTTTCTGCAGACCCCGCCCCAATTAGGGGCACTGGCCAGCACCTGAGGGTAGGGGGCTCTGGAGGAAGGAATAGACATCCTACACCAAGGACTGGCCAGGAAGAAAACCCACGTGGGAGGGTCTCTAGAACGCCCCCTGTTCTGAGGTCTATTTTCCCAATCATTATGCTGGAGTTAGTTAAATCCCATTTGCCGGTCAAGGATTTCCATCTGCAGAAACAAAACAGTGGGGCCTGGGGTGGTGGCTCATGCCTGTAATCCCAGCACTTTGGGAGGCCGAATGGGGCAGATCACTTGAGCTCAGGAGTTCAAGACCAGCCTGGGCAATATGATGAAACCGTCTCTACAAAAAATACAAGAATTAGCCAGGCATGGTGGCCCACTTGTAGTCCCAGCTATTCTGGAGGCTGAGGCTGGAGAATAGCTTGAACCTGGGAGGCTGAGGTTGCAGTGAGCTGGGATGGCACCATTGCACTCCAGCCTGGGCAACAAAGTAAGACTCTGTCTCAAAAATCAATCAATAAATATAAATAAAATAAAAACTGTGACTTAATGCTCCCTGTGTCTTCCTCCCCATTCAAAAAATCTCACCATCTGGGCACCAGAGCCATGCAAGGGGAAGGTGACTGACTCTGCAAGCTAAGCCTGGTGTAGGTCCCTCTTCCCTCCTCCCTCCCAACCCCACATCCAATGTGCAAGCCTTCCCAATGAGGAAGAGGGGCAATGGGGACTCTTGGATTCAGTGCCTCCCATGGCCACCTTTAAACCGGGCTTACAGGGGTTCCTTCTCATCCTTCCCACTGGCCCTGGGACCCAGGAACCCGAGCGCAAGCTCAGCCTACCAATGTACTCTATGGCTTCCATAAACCACGAGCTGATGTCCGCCTTGTGGTTGTCTTCCACCGGGATGCACTTGTACTGATAGTGTCCTTCAAAGTGGTTTGGGCAGTCGGAGGAGACATTCAGCAGGGCCGTGATGCCCAGGGCGTCCAGCATGTCTCTCCGGGCGGCATGGTAGGCACTGCCGAGGTAGAGGAAGGGAAGGATCTCCACAGGACCCCCCTGCAGAGAAAGGGAAACAAAGGCCCCCCAACGACATGAGGGTAAGGTGCTTGGCACAGGAAGTGGACACTTGTCTGCGGACAGCTTTCCTTTCCAGGCCCCAGGGAGGATGCCTGCGGGGTCTGGCCCTCGCAGGCACCCCCTGTAGCCTCCTGGAGCTCTTGGAGGGGCGATAGCCTTAGGGGGACTTCTCCAGCCTTTGCCCTCTACTTTTGGGCAGAGAGGCCATGGCAGGTAAAGTCTTGTGGGACCCTCCTGCAGCCCACCTCCCCCGTGGCAAAAGAAGCGGCAGGACAATGCGAGCCTTATGGCATCATCTGTGACACTGAGTTGATACCTGCTAATCATCAAGCCATTTGCTGTGTGGTTTATGGTTATGTATTCACTGGGCATATCAAAAACAGGTGTGCAGTGGCTCACGCCTGTAATCCCAGCACTTTAGGAGGCTGAGATGGGAGGATCACGTGAGCCAGGAGTTCAAGGCCATCGTGGGCAACGTAGTGAGACCTCGTCTCTATGAAAAATTAGCCTATTATGGTGGTACACACCTGTAATCCCAGCTACCCTGGAGGCTGAGATGGGAGGATCATCTGAACCCAGGTGTTTGAAGCCACAGTGAGCTATGACTGCACCACTGGACTCAAGCCTAGGTAACAGTGAGACTCTGTCTCTAAAAATAAACAAATAAATAAGTCGATGCCCTCTTGGCCACACAAACAAGAGAAGGGATCTTGGTAAATGAGGCAATTCTGGCTTAAATTCAGCACATGAGTAGTGGGCAGCAGAGTCCATCTAACTGAAAGGGCTGGAGGGTTCTTTGTAAGAAACACAGTGGCTCATGCAGATTTTCTCAGAGGGAGGGTGGGTGACCATCTATGTCCATTTGGCTGATACATGGGGCAGCCTGCCTGTCGGGGACCAAGATGCAGTCTATAACTCGCTACTTCAAAGAAGGATGACCTCAGCTTCCCAGAGAGCAAGTCCCCAGGGCTTCAGGTGGCCTCCTCACTTGTCCGAACACCATGCTAGAGGCCAGGTCAGGGAGTCGTGTCTTTAATCTTTTTTTCTTAAGGGAAGGATATTTAGAGAGGGAAGGGGAAGATTACCAAGGAGTAAATGGGCCCTACCTTACTTCCCACCCCAATACTCAGGGTTCACCGAATTCTCCCCAAATTGAGGCATAACATTCAAAAACCTTAAAAAAAATAACAAAACTCAGAACCAGAGCCATTGGCTCAAGACTGTGATCCCAGCACTTTGGGAGGCCAAAGCAGGAGGATCACTTGAGGCCAGGAGTTCAAGATCAGCCTGGGCAATACAGCAAGACCCCCTCATCTCTACCAAAAAACTTCTTAAATTAGCCAGGCGTGGTAGCGCACACCTGTAGTCCCAGCTACCAGGGAGGATCCCTTGAGTTCAGGAATTCGAGGTTGCAGTGGGCTATAATCACACCACTGCACTCTTGGGTGACAGAGCAAGACTGTCTCAAAAGCGAAGACAAAAAACACCCTCAGAACTCTGAAAAGAAGGCATTACTTGACCCCTACACTGCCCCTAACCCCCACTCCCGAGCGCTGCACCCCAAGTCTACCTGGTCGTGTAGCGGGGTCCCACAGGAGCTGCAGCCCAGGTCCAAGGGCTCTGTGGCACTGGGGGGAAACGGGGGTGGGATGGCTGCCAGGGCCTTGGTTTTAGAACAGAATTCTGGGTACTCGGAGGAAAACCTCTCATAGCCACCTGTAAAGGAGAAAGAAGCTCAGGTTAATGGGGTCACTAAGCCAGCAGGAAGTCAGAAAGAACTTAGGCCAGCTGCTGGGAAGGTGGAGCGGGCGTGCTCTGCATTTGCCACTGGGCGGCGCTGTGGACCTAGCAAATGACCATGGAGCGGTTTTCAGAGATGCAGAGGACAGGCTTGCCGGGACTGCAGCAAGGCCGGAAGAAGTGTTATGGACAAGACCTGGGTTAGAGAGTTAGACACACAAAGGAAGATGTTCAGGGAATGTGCAGAAAAGACTCTACAGAGTAGCTCCTCAGGACAATGACAAATAGAGAAGAAAGGAAGGTCATGCTGGGCTTCCAAGGACACTAAGCACCTGAAGAGACACCTGTCACCCCAATTCCAGCCCTTCCTCAGGCGAGGTCCTCCAATGTGAGAAAGAAGGAAAAGAAATGACCCTGCCACAAGCTCTTCTGGATGTCAGCAATGGAGCAAGATGCCCATTGCACAGCCTCAAGAACAGCAGTTCCGTCACCAAGAGGCCAGAACAAGAGGAAACAGGCTCAAATCTAAATAAATCCCTCATGTTACCTGCAGGTTTGGGCAAGGGAAGATTTCCCCACCTGAGAGTGTGGTAAGCCCTGGAATGTTTATCTGTGGATCATCTTCCAGAGAAGGGAGATATTTTAAATAAAAGAAGAAGCCGGGCATGGTGGCTCTCGCCTGTAATCCTAGAACTTTGGGAGGCCAAGGCGGTGGATCACAAGGTCAGGAGTTCAAGACCAGCCTGGTCAAGATGGTGAAACCCTGTCTCTACTAAAAATACAAAAGTTAGCTGGGCATGGTGGTGGGCACTTGTAATCCTAGCTACCTGGGAGGCTGAAGCAGGAGAATCTCTTGAATCCCGGGAGGCAGAGTTTGCAGTGAGCCGAGATCATAGAGTAAGACTCTGTCTCAAAAAAAAAAAGAAGAAGAAGAAGAATATAAATGGCCAGCTGGACTGGAATAGAGGGGGTGCCGCTATCCAGGAGGGGTGGAGGTGGGTGGGATACAGGGAAGGGCCACAGGGAAGCCCTCCAAAAAGACAACCACTCAAGCCCTATCATCTCTGGTTTTCTTGTGATCTCTGGGATTCCCTTTGTGGCCAACTTCCAATTTATGGTGCTATCCATGTGTGGCCCTGCATTTATTTTGATTTTGCAGTTTTTATAGGGCCAGAAATTGATTAGATTGATTCAGTAGGGTCTGTGTATTAGAGACCCATTCAACTGACCCCAATGACAAGTTGGCTGACGGTCCCAGATGTCACTGCCTTCGCAGTCTTCATGACAGTGACATAGGACCACTGTGCCCTAGGGCCATTCACAGAAATTTTCCAACGTGCAGACATGTGACACTGTCACTTGCCCCAAATCCCAACCCTAAAGACTGCTTCCTACTGAGAGGAAGGAAACGGTTCTCTACCACATTATAAGGCTTATAGAAACAGGGCATACAATTTTTCCTCTCTGACTGTAGGAGGCTCCTCTATTCCCCTCCTCTCCCTCCCTCAGGATATAAATGGATCTCTCTGGTCACAGGCCCTTGTTCCTGCTGAGTCACAGTGACCAGCCTCCCTGGATGGAAAACCTGCTGGCGGGGCTGGTACCGTCAGCCTTGGTCATGCTGGTGGCCTTGGCAGCCACCTCATCACAGAAACACCCCCTCCCTCTCATTAGAAACCCCTTTCCTTGTCCGGCTGCCAGGACTGCTGCACCAAATGCAGTGATTAGAGGATGGGGGAAGAGGAAGCAAATGTCTGTCTGCAGCTGAAGTACCTCAGGGGCCTCTGTGATGGGAAACTTCGGCCAATGTTCCCTTTTGGAGGAAGTGGAAGGGAAACATTGTATCAACAGTGGTTGGACACCTGTATCCCAAGCCATTGCTTGTTATTCTATGTACTTCTCTAGGATTTGCAAAAATTCTAACTAAATGATCCTTCTGTGTCTGTTACATAATTTGAGCTGTCAAAACACATGTTCAAATGACATGTTAGACCCAAGTGGTGCCCGGCAAAAACTTACCACCTACACAGACAAGCTATCACCTGCACCCGAAAGTGAATGGTTGGGCAGCCCAGGAGTGCCAGGGCAGGCCCCTAGGTCACAGAGCAGAGCGGCGCTGGGGGCTGGAGAATCAGGAAGAGCCCAGAGCAGCTGAAAGGATGATGTCCCCATGGTTGAGGGTATGGAACAGGGCACTGGAGTGAAGTTCTGGAAAGGGCACAGACTCTGCCATTGGGTTGTACCCCACCCCGAGCATTTATCAGCCTGGGCTTCCTGAACCTCTCCAAGCCTCCTCCTCGTCTGTAAGAGGTGATAAAAGTCTCCTGCACAGGGGCCTTTGAGGATTGGTTCCAACAGCCAGGCTCTGCGCCTGGCATCAGGGAGGCAGATCATGAAGTTTTCCCTTCTTGGTGCCTACAAGGAGGGGTGCCCTTGGGTGCCCTCAGCAGAGATCCTCAAAGGCCAAAGAGGAACCAGGGGACAGGGTAATGCTGGTAAGTGTAAGGTACTAGGCATTTGACAGCCTGCTCTCCCAGAAACCCTTCTCATGGTTTCTGGAGACCTCCAGACCTCCAGATTTTGTAGATAAGACAGAGGAAGGGCTCCACCTCCACTCCCGGGCACAGCAATCTCTGCCACTCAGCAGAATCCCTGCCAGGGACCTGGAGCCAGCCACTGGCCACAGAGTGGTGTGGGAGGCAAGGAGGGCCCAAGTGACCCATTAGATGGGGAACAGGCTAGATCTTGGCCGAGGGGTGCCATTGGTCATCTCCCCCAGGCTGATCACAACTGTCTGAAAAAGGCACCATTAAAAGGCAGCAGAAAAACGATTACGGAAAAGTCATTTACCTCTGCGGAAGTTTTAAAGCATAAGCAAAAAGAAACAAGGTGAAGAAGCAAATTCACTCAAGGGGCAGGAGCACTGGAAGGTTCTCGTTCCTGACAGTGGTTGCCAGCTTTTAGGGGTCTGTGTCTGGTTGTCACAAGATGCCACACTAAAGGGAGTTCCTTCTGGTGGGCCCCGGGCTGCAGTCAGGCCGGCACTCATGGGTGAAAACGATATGCTCTGAGCTGGTGGAGCCTGGAGGATGCAGTGAAGGTAAAGTGGGAGGATAGCTCCAAGTTAGCATTTCTCCATCCACGGAAGAAGCTGCTCACGTCCACCTGCACAAGGCCACGCCCATCTCGCACAGGGCCACACCCCAGTAAGTCATCTGTGGGTGTCAATCCATGCCATGACTGCCTTCTACCCCTTGCCGGCGGGCCCTTCTCTAGGGGTTACTGCCTGCAGGTTTCATCAAGTGAAGGCAGACTTTTCATGCAAAAACAGAACAGATCCAAATAGGGCACTGCTGATATTTCACCAAACCCTGCTTTTATCCATCAATTTCCTAATCCAGGTGATCATGGAGTCACGACCCATATTTTTTTTTCATGGAATACAATAGAATAAATTAGGAGGACACATTGCACTTAAAGAGGATTTCATTTCATGGAACTTTTTTTTCAGGTGTGCATGTATCCCTCCCCTGGGTCACGATATAAATTGAAATGTGTTTCTTACTGTGGGCAGGGTCAAAACGGATTATTCTAAGGCTACTTCCACTCAGTCCCTGCTACCCATCCCAAATCCATGCAAATATCACAGTCACAGCTCTTTCAAGAGCTACATTTAGGTCACCAAGTTTCATCCCAAAAAATCGTGAAAGGGAAAGCTTATTCTCATTGTCTACAAAGGGGCTGGGCTCCATCCCATGCCCTAGCTCGGGTGCAGGAGAAGT